ACAGCGAGACGATTTCGTTGCCGGGCAAGACCACCGTCGCGCTCACGATGACGCTGAAGAGCCCGGTTGGCGGCTCGTACACCAACGCGACGTCGGTTGGCGGCTCGCACACCAACGCGACGTCGTTTGCCGCCAAGGTTAAAGTCTTTGGGACCAAGAAGATTTCCTTCAAGAACGGCGACGGGCCGTACCATGTTCCCAAAGCCAGCGACGAGGAAGCGGGCTGGAACCGTCGCACGACCGACGCTGCGTACGACGGTGACGACGCTGGTAGCACGAATGACTCGAACAACGAGTACTTTAACAACGACGGCAACGATGGCGACAAGGGTGGCAACGGTGCCGACGTCGGGACCGACAACGACAATGAAAGCGGCAACGGTGACTACAACCCGGGCAATGGAGACGACATGGAAGGCCACGACGTTGAAGGCGACAACAACGGCAGCAGCAACGAGAACGACAACGAAAAGGCGACCAAGGACTACCTTCTCAAAGACTTTCTCTTCAACGTGGCGTTCTCCAACTCCACGTCGGTGCGCAAGGACCTCAGTGTGCCAGCGCCACCGACGCGCCTCGAGTTTTCCCTCTTTGCGAATGCGCAAGCCAAAGCGCCGCTGTGCTCGACGACGATCCAGTGCCCGGGCAAGTCGTACCCCAAGCGTCTTCGCCAATAGCCAATCCACTACCCATTCGATAATGCACCACAGTATTTTGTCTAATCCCTGTGCAAGTACACGTTGTCCATATCTTGGAGAAGAGCTATAAGACGACGGTCTGTCATTTGTCATTGGTTGAGCTCGAAGCAGTCGAACGCAAAGACACTTGACTGTAAATTTGGCCAAACACTCTTCACTAATGACCAAGCTATCGACGTAGAGGCTAATCAAAGGATATTTGATGCCCTTTGCACAATTGATGCACATCGTCTGGGCTTCTTATTGGCAGCTAAAGCGCGTCTGTGAATCATGTAGGTTGCGTTGCTTTGAGGGTCCGCCTCTGTAGTACTATTGGGCGCTCACTTGTCGACCCAGTCGGTGTTTGTTGCGACGAACTCAAAGCGATGCGACAACACCGGGACATGCGTCGTCGTGCGCCAGCGGTGGCTACGACAGCCTTGTCCACGACCGACCACGACAAGGCCGCCGACAAAACCGAAGCTCAGAGTCGGGTGGGTGCTCCGACGTTTCGCGTTCTGGTCGCGTCGGTCGAGCTAGGATTTTCGATGGCCGAGCTCGACAACATCGTGCCGCCGTAGTTGCTGTATCATCAGACGACTATTGTATAGTGCGCAATCTGACTGTTATGTGACGACGTTGGCGGTAGCCACCACCCAGTGAGCTCGACCAAACCTAGTCCTACCCTACCCCCATATATTGTGTGGTAGTCAAGCAATGCCAAGGGCATTGACCCATGGCATTACCAAGGTCTTTGCAGCAAAGTGTCGAGTACAAAACAACAAAATAGATTGCTAAAGCGAATTGCGCATCGCACGACCATTACATGCTACGTAGCGCGAGGTACGATCTGCAAAAGAGCGTCGTCTAAGGGCAGCTCGCAGTACTGTCGGCATCACAAATGCGTCTCTACGTTGTCGTTATCATAAATGGCTGCGCACTCACGACCTTATGTACGCCGGTGAAGTCTTGGTAGCATTGAGCATCACATTTCACCCGCCCTTATAAGGGTCCAAATGTGAGAGAGAGACGCCAAGACTTCGGAACGCATTAAGTACGCCATCTCAAATTTTCATCTCGAACTTTGTATATTACTCAATAGTAATTTGGTATGCGTGGCATGCGCACTTTATCGAGTTGGTCAACCTGCACTTGAGAGGATTCCTGCGCTTGGAGCTTGCCACGATTTGCGAAATTAAAAAATACTTGCGCCGAGTTGAATCATTTCGAAATCAGCACCGCAGGAAGAGGGACATGCCGCACCTCGCCGCCCATGTCCTCCGCGCGCCGAGCCTGCTCAAGCGTATCTGCACCTTCCACATCGACGCATCGGCCAAGGCGCCGGCTCTACCACAGCGCTGTTGCAGCATCCGCCTGCGCAGCACCTACAAGCTTGACGACGACGGCAACGACGACGTTGCAGTGAACGGCCAGCGCGGCTCCATGTGGTCTCTCGTCCTCGGCGACCGATGTCTGCCATTGCTCTGTGAGCCGCACCTCTTTGCGCACGCGATTGCGCGCGGCGACGCCAACATCCTCGGCTGGCTCATCTCCCAAGGACGCGTAGCGTGGACGAAGGAGCTCCTCATGTTCACCACCGACGAGCGTTATGCATGCCCCGGCGCTAAACACGATCTTGGCGGCGCGATGACGATGCGAGCGCTCCACTGCGTCGCCCGTGCGGCAGAGAAAGGTCATCTTGCAGTCTTGCAGCTCCTTCACGCGAATGGCTCTTCCATGGGCGACGTCTGGCAGTTCGTTTGCAGTGGCGGCCACGTCAACGTCGCTCGCTACGTTGTGACACATGATCTTGGTGTTTGGAACGACGCGTTCATTAACACAGTGGCCGAGAAGAGCCTTGTTGATCTGCTGCACTTCCTCCTCCGCCGTAGTTACGGTGGCGTCAATCAACGGACGCTTGCGCTGGCCATCCAGCACAACCAGCTCCAGTCCGTCCGCGATCTCTTCGCACACAAGCATTGCCTCGCGCCGCTCTCGTTTGAAGATGCGCTGCGGGATGCAGTTGAGTACGACCGGCTCGACATTCTTCGCTGGCTCTGCAACCAAGCGCGACGCACGTGCCTTCTTGGACGTGGCGCTGGCAACGGCGACGTACTACTGCGCGTCGGCTGCTGTCGCATGCATCAATGCCGTCATGAGCCTGCACGCCAGCAAGCAGCGTATCCGCTCCGTGTTGCTGTCCAAGGTCTTCTTGAAGTGCATCACTTCGCACCAAGATGGTCGCGACATCAGCACCGTCGCCTTGCACAAACTTTGCGACGGCGTAGCTCTCTACTGCAGCGAGCAGCAGAGCCGATGCGTGCCAGAGATGCAGTCGTTTGCTCTCTTCCACGAGCAATTTGGTGGCTGGCTGGCTCGGCATGATCTCTCGCAGCTCGACCAGCTCTGCCAACCCCACCTCTTTGCGTATGCCTTGTCGTACGGCAACATGGAGATCCTCGAGGAGCTTGATGTCGAGTTTCGAGCGTCGCACCAGCACGTCCAGCTCAACGGACTTGGCTGCCGTCCGTGCTGCGTGGGCCAACTCGACAAGCTCACATATCAAAATGTGGTGCAGCACGCGACCGAGTCGGGCCACTTCGACCTCCTCGCCCACTTGGAAGACGTCGGCTTTGCGATGGACGACGTGTGGTATCGCGTGAGCTTCTTTGGCGATCTCGAAATCGCGCGCTACGCCCACGAGTGCGAGTTTGACGGGTGGTTGCCAAGATACGTCTACAACGCCGCTGCCAGTGGCCACCTCGGCTTGATCAAGTTCTTGGACAAGCACCACTTCAGCGGCTTTGACTCTGAGACGATCTGCGGCGCGGTGCACAGTGGTAATTTGGCGCTCGTCGACTACCTCTTGACGCACCGGACCGAAGGCACACTGCGCAAGGCCCTCAAGACGGCAGCCGAGACAGCCAACCTCAAGATGCTTTGTCATTTGGTCGGCCGACCGGGCGTGAGCTGTGCAGAATGGCGAGCGTACGTCACGCGGAGCCATGCGTGTGCTGCGTACCTCACCGACGTCATGCGCGTGCGTACGTCGCGTACCCGCATCTACAAGCAGAGCCTCAAGCGCAAGGCGTCCGAGATGACGTGAACTGCGATGCCTTCGTGTTGTCGTTTTACTCGACCGCATTCAATTCTAAGTCACTATACGTTTATGAACGTCGTCTGTATATAGTAACAACTGACGTCGCTGGGATTAGGGTAAGGTCTGTCGCAGCCGCCAGTGAATGAAGGCACTAATAAGTGATGGTTAAATCAGGTAAAGTGCTTCGATAGGTTTAGCGCTTCTTACAATGCGATCAAGCTACTCGCACGGTACGAACCCGCCTCGTCGGTTGTCGAGGCGGCCGACGAGAGCATTTTGGAACTGCTCGAGGGCGACAACTGCAGCGTCTCGTATCCGCTTCCGGGCGCGTCCTCGTGGCTGCTAATCGTGCTCTGAGATGTCGCCCAGTTGTCGACCCAGTCGTCCGTCGTTGCAAACTCGCCTCGAAGCGACGGCGCACGGACAAGGGTGCACCAGCGGTAGCGCTCCGGTACCGCCGGCAACGACGCTCGACTTTGGCGGTACAAGTGCCACGCAAAAGCACCGGCGCCAATCGCCGCTGCCACCGACACGACCAGGCCGCCGACAAGCACGCAGCTCAGAGACGAGTAGGCTTTGCTCGGAAGTGTCGTAGCTGGGATCGTGACGTTGGAGTTGGTCGCGTTGGTGGCATTTCCTACGTCCGAGCACGCCCACGTAGTGCTGCAGAGGGCGTTGTTGGCAGACGACAGCGTCAGGCGGACGTGCGTCGGTGGTGTCGACAGTGAAAACTCAAAGTGCTGCGGCGTTGCATTGGTCGCCGCTGCTAAAAGCACGCGGACACTTGCAAGAACGTCCGAGTCGTTGCCACCGAGTGCGAGAACCGACGCCTCGATCGGGTCGTACGCCGAAGCGTTGAAAAGTGTCAGGTCGAGAGCAACGGTCGTCTGCTGCGGTAGCACAATCGTCTCGGGGGTGGGCGCATTGCACGTCGCCTCAACTTGAACGACACTCGAGTCCCAAGCACACGTGGCCGAGTCAGCGAGAAGCCGTACCGCCATGAGCAGTGCCACCAGAAGGTACATGCTGCGTAGATAGTATCTGCTCGGCGCAAGGCTAGATAAGGAATGGCGATTCAGAGAATTTGAAAAGAAGTATGTTGGGTTTATTGAGAGACGAGACAATCTCTGTCGCATTTTATCTCGTGAGGAAAAAGGCCGCGGCGCCCAGTAGTAAGAAGAGGGCGAGTGCGCCACCAGCGACGAGAGCGTTCGTGTTGGACGCCGGGTGGTCTTTGAAAGCTACGTATTCCTACATAAGCTTCGATCATGAGCGGAGAGATGTGTACTGTTCTTCTCGATCGCGTAGCGCGAGCGCAGCTGTCCGGCGCTGAGTTCCGAGTCGCGGACCGTGCCGCCGCGGCCGTAGCGTGTGCGAAGCTCCGAGGCGGGCAAGGCGTCGTCGGCCATGGCTGAGGCAAGTTGCAGAATGAGCCGTTGGAGAAGCGAGCATGAGCCTAAAGATAGCAGCCATGAACCCGCCCGTGCAACCACCATGCTATTTCAGGCTTCATGCTGGCGCTTGTCCACCCCAAGGAGGCCACCGAATGAAGCCCCCTGGCTGGCTCCTCTGCAACGAAACTTGTGGAAAGAACGCGGTTTACGCTGAAATGTCCAAGTCACAGGGCCCCCCAAATGGCCTTCGTAGTCGGGAGAATTGGGCTAGTGAGGAGTCCTGACGCCAACAAATAGACCATGGATGACTATGCATTCAGGTATTTCAGCAATCTACGACAGCATATTCCTCTCTGCGGTAGCCCATGAGTGTTCCTCGACACCTTTTCTTGGAACCTGTCGAGTGTATCTCCGTCACCTGCCTGGCGCTCTGTATACAGAGCGATTACTGCAAATAAGACGATGATTTTCTTAGCGTAGTTGCATGCGCAGCTGGTTGATGGCTTTATCCAGTCCAAAAAGACTCGACTCGATGTTGGACTTGCGTCTGCGCGCGTCGATCGTTCTCGAGGCGGACTGTTCGAGCTTGGCGTACTCGGCCTGGAGCTGCTCCCATTGCATTCTTCCATCGCAGAGCGTAGACGTCGTACCTGCTCTTTTTCAAGGTTGAGATCGAGGAGCTTTCGCTCCAGTTGCCGCTTGTACATGACGTCGTTCTGGAGCGACTGCTTCTCGGTCGCGTAGGGTGCACTGAGCTCCATATCGATCACGCTGCGGTGGCGCATGTCCCCACTCTCCTCCGCACTGCTTTGATAATGGAGCAAGTTGCGAATGTTGCTCGAGCCATTCAGCTCGACTTTGCTCATAGAGGCTACGCGAATCTGTCGTTTCCGATGATAAACATCGTAGGACTACCTGCTGTCGTTGGCATCGAACGCCGGGTATCACCGTAGCCAAGGTCCGCTAGCGACACGGGGCCGCTGCGTCGCGTCGCGCGCTCTTTTGTCGGTGACGTCGTCGGGCGCGCCTCGGCCAGTAACTGGTTGTAGGACTCGACAATAGCACTTGGGCGCCGCTCTGTCTCTGGAAAATACACTGTAAGTTGCCACAGTGTTTGAAATAAAAGTGGATGGCACCTGGAAATCCGTGTCCGTTCAAGTCGGGTATGCGAATTGCGTTCGGGAAGAGCGTCGACTCGACATAGGTTGGTTCCCGACTCGAAGGTGGCGGACCTATATCGTCACGCCGGTCGAAGTTGCGTTGCTGCGCTTGGAGTCGTTCGAGCTGCTGCGAATGGTGGGTATCTCTGGCCGCAACGTCGGCCTGGTGCCGAGCATGCATCTAGAAATGCAATGTAGTTTTGAATCTGACAAGAGTCGGCTACGGCAGATGTCTGGCGCAGCTGCTGAAGCAGATCATCTCGCTCTTGCGTCAGCAACGCGATCTGGTTGGTCGTGCGCCACGTCTCGGTGTTTTGGCTCTGGCTTCGCTGCAGCTGCGTGAGCTCGTAGACCACTTTGGTGTAGTCTTTTCGGACGCGCTCGAGCTCGGTCGATGTGGTCGCCAACGTCGCCTTGCACTCGTCGAGTGCAAACTGGACGCTTTCGAGCTTGGTTCGTGCCGTCGCCAGCTCCGTGGTTTTGGCTGTCAGTGCGTCAGCGTCATTGCTGACCCTGCGCTCCGTGTCGTTTAGCGTCTGTCGCAGTGTTAAGAGCTGGGCCTAATCGTGCATGGAAGTAACAGCATCCAGCCGACACAAGGCCAACCTCGAGCATCGTCACGCGCTTCTTGTCACTGGCCGCGTCCGTCTTGACCGACTGCAGCTATGTTTCGTCGTCTAAGCTTTGCGATGCAGATATGCTGATTGTCACGTACCTCGGCTACCTTGGTCACTAGCGCCGCCTCGATGTGGATGACCTTCTCCTCCAGCGACGCCATGTCCCGCGCAGTAGTTTGCCGAGCATCTTCGCCTTGGCGCAGTAGCGTCTCGACTTGGGACTCGAGTGCCAGCGCTTTTGTCTTCCAGGCAGTAAGCTCTTTCTCCAGCACTGCGCGGTCAAAGCTCGACTCTTCACGCTCGCGAAGAACCGTCGGCGGCGGCGGCGCCATGGTCGAGCGAGGACGAGGCAGCAACGATGGCGCACTCGACTCGATTGAAGGCGAGCGTTCTGGGTAGACCCACTGCGAGCTGCAAGACAGTTCTGCCTCGAGCGGTGCCCGTGCGCTCGGTGGCCGCACGCGGCGCGCGGCTTCGGCCTGCCGGACCGCTTCGGCTGCCGCAGCAAACGGGTCATAGCGCCGGACGGGCTTATACTCGCTTACGCAGAGACTCTTCCAGGACAGGCGGTCATCGTCGTCATCGTCGCCTTCGCTCCACGGCGCGTCCCACTCTGAAAAGGCCATGGCCACGCGTGACGGTTCAAGATCCAGCGCCGCCACTGTCTGAGGAAAACACTGTTTTAAACAGAATGTAATATTGCGTGCGCCTAGCCTCTTCGATCTTTTGACCAAGCATGTTGGCGTCACCGCGCTGGTCGCAGCACCAGCCGACGTCGTCGGTCTTCATCTGGACAAGCGAGAAGGACGCTGCGCTTGACGACCAAGTGGCTAGCAGCATCCGCGAGAGCCTCGAGGCCACCGACGACGTGGACGACGAGCTCGTCCGCGAGATCTACGCGGCGCGGTTCCCGCTCGGCGTCAACTGGAAGGCGATCGCGATTGCCCTCGGCTGCACGCCCGTCGAGTGCGTCCGCCGGTACGCTGAGCTCAAGACGACAACTGTGCACGTCTCGCAGTATTCCGCAGCGGCGCACGTTTTGCACTCGCCACGCCTTGGCAACCTGAGCTCGCCCGTGCTGCCAGGGAGCCCGCTTCTGTCGCCGCCGCCGTTCGCGCTCCAGAGTCGCAACAGTCCGTTCAAGTGGACAGCGCCGCCAAAGCCCTCGGCGCCCGTGTACGGCGACGTCGACGCCATCGATGAAGCGCTGGACGCGATGGACTTGGACGACCTCCGGGCTGCCGTCGCTGACGCCGACGCTCATCCATTCGATACATCGGGTACCATCCTTCTTCGCATGCTTGGCGCCTCGACGATTCTCATGTGGTAGCCTCAATTGACTTGCTGAGCCACTCGGCCCTCGCTGACGCGTTCTTGGACATTGCAGGTCGCTTAAAACGACAACACGGCCGAGGCGCTCATGTATATTTGCTGCTGTAGGCTCCCGCCTCGACGCCCCAAGGTGCACACCATCAACAAGGGTGTCACATCAACCTCATAATCGCGTAGCATGCTTCTCCAGAGCCGCCTCGCCAAGCACGGAACGCAATAACGTCATGCGCTTTACATATCTAGCATCTACCCTGTGAATGCACGGGATGTATGCAAGCCTGTATGCAATAATTAAACAGAGGCGCATAAGCGACGCCGAACGCGAAAGCAGCTCCAAGCACCAAACACGACAAGTAGTGGGGGTGTGCGATACTAGTCTAGGCTGGTATTTCGCAATACTGTCGGGTCGCTTCACATCGCTAACAAGGTCCAAGCGCACCGCTCGTTCAAACCGTGTGCAAGGCGTTCGATGGCTCGTGGACTGGAAATCGTTCGGTAGTTATGCACTAGGTATGTGGCGCTGGATCAAACGTACTAGAAAATCATCTGTGTTGTTGTTGGGCGACAAGCCTGTACTAGGCAAGTCGTCCCACGGGTCGGCGTCCTTGTCAGAGTCCCTTGAGTAATAGAGCGCCATTGCGAGATCGTTGGTGAGGATTTCGCTGATTTCACCAGCGTCGTGGCCATCGTCGTCCAGGCCATCACTGGAAGCGTCTTGGACGCGCGCGTTCGTGGTGGTTGCTGCTGCTATGTCGTCGCGGACACGGTGCTCGCGTCGTTGCGGGAACAAACGGTGGCGAGTCCATATCAAGTTCCGAGGTAAGCAGCTGCGTGATCCCGTCGGAAGCCGACGGACGTGACGACGCGAATTCGCGATCGCGGTTCCGCTGCTACACTTCGCGGTGCTTGACTGCTGCTTGAACGGCGCACTCTACGGGGCCATAGACGTTTCGGTGCGTGGCCTTCTGGACTTTGACGCAGTTGTCCGCCTCGCGCTGCTTGTTGACACCGCAATGTCGATCAATGGTGTTGCAGTCGGTGCCGGGACTGCAACGTTGTAGAGCAGGTCCCTTGTTCCGCCCGTATCAACTGCGGTACTGCCGCGCCGTGCGATCCCCTCCACCTTTTCGACCGTCGTCGCCATGGACTCTTGCGCGGTTTGTGCCACCATATCGGCAACGCTGGGCTCTTGGCCAGACGCCACGTCGATTCGGCTCTTCTGCTTCCATGGCCCGCGCTTGTGCTTTTGCTGCTCGGCTTCGTCACAGAGTATGCTTGCGGCTTGCACGAGGCGCCTGACGATGAGCGAGATGGTGTCCTTCGTGGGCTTCTTGGCTCCGCTGCACTTGTCCGTCGCAAATTTCTGGTTGACCTCGAGCGCGACGTCGGCCCACTCCATGGAAGCGGGCTTGGGTACCGCAACATGATACAACAGGTCTAATACTTCCGCGCTCCACCCGTAATCTCGGCTGTACTGTCGCACTGCACGATCCCAGAAGACCTTCTCGATCGCTTTTGCCATCGTCGTGCTCGCTTTCGAAGCGAGTGCCGCCGCTGGGATGACTTGGAGTGGCACGCATGGAGGAGACGTCGCAGGGACAGCCCCAAAGGTCGCTCGTTGATGCGCGCGGATGCTGGAGCCGAGGAACGTGGCGCTGCCAACTCTCGCTCACATACACGCTGCTGCACCTCGCGGTGTTTGATTGCCTTCTCCACAAGGCGTCCGACGATTTGCGGCATGTGTTACCCCGTGGCCTTCTTGGCATTCTTGACATTGAGGCACTTCTCCATCCCGAGCTGCTGGTTGATCACATACGCGATGTCGACCCACGATGTCCCATCAGACCTTGGCACGCTGTGGCTCGCCATCGCTCGCACTTTGGGCGAAGACGGCACCGACCAGTTGTCCATCGAAATGGCTCAAGCGTCATCAAACCTGCTATCGCACAGCCGCACAGCTCACGGACCGGCGATCGAGCTCAGTAATTTCTACGCAAAGCGCGGTATTTTCTATGCAGAGGTCGAAGACACGTGCCCGAGATCGGTATCGAATACGCACAACATGTAGTGGAAGCGATGCTCAACCACCTGATGAAGTCCACCTCTCGGCCTTGTTGATGGAACGGCGTCCCAGCACGTCTCCCGACTCGACTGGCACCATCCAGCGACCGACGTGGACGACTTCGCAGCCATGATCCACGTAGCTTGCGCCATCCAGTCGGAAGAGCGCCGACGAGCAAATTTAGCACAAGGCAACACGTCACGAGGAGGCAGTAGTCTATGAAAATGACGCTTTAAACCTTGGCGTCGATCATGCGCACGTTCTCTTCAGCTTGGGCAGCGCGGGCCTTGGCCTGCTTGGCGGTCTCGGCATCCTGGAACTTGCCGTAGCCATACATCATACCACCAATCATGCCAAAGGTCACGTAGATGGCGGTCTGCGGCTTGAGCTCTTCGCCGAGGAGCAAGACGCCAATAAAGGTCGTGGGCAGCTTGTTGAGGCCGCCGACGGTCGCATACGTTGTCGCGGACGTGACGCTGACGCACCAGAAGGACGCAAGGTTGAGGCCGATGCCCATGACACCGCTGAGGAAGAGGAGGAAGAGAAACGGGACATTGCGCATGAGCGGGTTGCTCCAGACCGTGATCGCGTCGCCCGTGTACGCCATGGGGAAGAAGAGGAGCGGGATCGCGACAATGTTGTTGTAGAACGCCATGCCAAACTTGCTGAGCTTGAGCGACGACCCGGACGTCGCGTAGCGCATGTAGAGCACGTACGCGGCCGTCGAGAGGCAGTTCATGAGCATCCAAAAGTAGCCCATGAGCGTGCTCGCGGTCGGCTTGCCGCCCACGTCGCTGTACGAGGTGAGGATCGCGCCCATGAGCATGACGGCAAGCGAGCCGAGGACCATCGGGCCGACCTTCTCGCCAAAGAGGCGGTACTCGCCAAAGACGATGATCAAGTTGGTCACGTTCTTGAAGACGGTGACAATGTGAATCGGGAGGCCGGCCGTCGCGAGCGTGCCCGTGTAGAGCATGGCCACAAAGAAGCCTGTGACCGGCGCCCAGCGCTTGGCGGTCTCCATGCTGAAGTTCTCGTACTGGATGTGGCCGCGGGCCTTGGCGGCCTCAAGCACGAGGACGCCGATGACGGCCTGCGCGAGGATGACGAAGGACTTCTCGGCGAAGTTGTAGTACTTGGCGCCGACGATGTACCGGTTCGCGAGCACCATCGCGTTGGACATGAGGCTGTACACCAAGCACGAGACGACGGCCATCGACGTCGTCGGCGTCTTTGCGGTCGCGTCCGAAGCCATGGCTGCAAATCCACAAGTGACATTGCCCGATACCGCACTTGCGCCAAGTATGACATACAAAATTCAAGATATGTCACTATTGCCAGGGAATCTCATCCCAACCGGACCACCGAGGACGAAATGGTGTGTGTCCACTTGTCTAGAGCAGCTGGCAATGGCAAATAGCTGCTCAAATAGCTTGGTCGAAGCAGAGACGGTGGTGATGGTGCGTCGCTACGTAGGAGCACTACGTACGAGGTCGAGTCAAAGCAGCGAACTCGACGTTGCAATTTCTTGTGCTTCCTTGGGAGATCACATCGAGCTGCAGTGACGGAGAGGAGACACGAGACAGTCGTTATGAAGCTAACGTCATGGGCGCTCGGTAGAAATGCCGGTGTGCTGCGATTGCATCGGAGCTCAAGAGCTTGTGCTTGTACTCGAACAGTGTAAAGCTATAGGCAAGGGTCCATAACTTGTTCGTTAAACCTTGCTATAGGCTGCTAAGGAGGTGGACGGTGGCGGTCGCTTGTCGAGCGATCGGACTAAGTAAAGACGATGTCGAGTTGCGTGTGACACAAGCAGGACTAGAGCGTGTGTCGCTAACACGAGGGATGTGACCGGATATCATTGACCATTATCCGGATGTACGACGTTACACATTGACCAAGAGCCCAGGAAGCGACGAAGGAGGATCCACAAGAGCGGCCGAGGTCCGCACAATGGCGCAGTGGCGCGACCAAGTGGGCTCGTGGCGCTAGGCAAAGAGAGGTGCTTGTGCGCGTCTTGGTATATCTTGAATGAAGCCGGCCATTGTAGCCCTCGTGCTACGGGGACGAGGCAACATTCGCCTGGTGCTAACGCAGGCACGCTTCCCTCCCCGCTCGAATGGAACTTGCATCTGCATCTGCCACGCTAAGAAGCGACCGTTTGCGCATAGCACAAGTGCTGCCGCCCACAACGACAGGCAGTGGACAATGCCAACGCAGGCCCGTGTGGTGTCGCTAGCCACAGAGGCATACGAGGCATGAAGCTCACATCGAATCTACTGGTGGGCTCATCCCTGGGCTCGTGTCGTGTACTGTACTTGCTCACTGCATGATGGCCGTCCAAACGATGTGATGGGCAACGCAAGCCGGTGGTAGCAGCAGGATCGCTGGATCGTAAAAGCAACGCGCCATGGCGGGTACAAGCCATTCGCTCATGAAGCAGCAGCACAGCATCATGCAGGCCAGCGCGCTAGTGCGACGCCCGCCCATGAGGCCGCGCCGTTGTCCTTGTCTGCGGCCACGCGGCTTGCAACATCGGGTCCAACTCTACGCCCATTGGCTGAAATCCGGTGAAATTGCCAGTTTTCGCCCAGTCAGCCCGGTTGAAGAACGAGGATGACCGAAGCGACGGCCTTCGCCCGGTTCCTCCCGGGGCTGCGCAGCGCGAACGCGACGACGCGGACCAAGACGGCGCGGACGCTCTGCCTGTACCTCGAGTCCGAGGCGCGGGACCTGCCCATGGCCGAGTACGCGACGACGGTCTCGGCCATCAGCGGTCGCATCATCGAGATGATCCTCGGGTCCGACCTCGCCGAGCGCACCGGGGGCATCGTGGCCATGGACAACCTCGTTGACCTCTTCATTGCTGACAACCAAGACTCGCGCATCTCGGAGTTTGCGCACGCGCTCATCAAGGTGTTTGAGAAGACGGCCAACACGGAGATCCCAACGCTCAAGGCCGGCGGGAAGGCGCTCGGCCACCTCGTCTCATCCGGCGGTACGTCGCTCATCGAGTTCATCGAAGAGTACCACATGAAGCCCGCGCTTTCTTGGCTCGAGAAGGAGAGCTTCCAGGTCCGGCGCCAGGCCGCGGTCATCATCATGCGCGAGCTCGCCATCAACGCGCCCGCGATCCTCTTCCGGCACATTGACACGTTCTTTGACGTCATTTGGAACGCGTTCGGCGACAGCAAGCAGCCGACGCGCGAAGGCGCGGCCGACGCGCTCCAGGCCTGCTTTGCGCTCCTCCAAGCCCGCGACTCGAACCGCAAGAACATGTGGTACGTGCGGACGCTTGAAGAGGTGCAGCGGGGCCTCCAGCGCGGGACGCCCGAGTCGATCCACGGCGCTCTCCTCATCTTAAACGAGCTCCTGCGGAACAGCGGCGACTTCATGTACCCGCACTACGTCCGCCAAGTCCGCGACGTGCTCAGCCTGCGGGACCACCGGTCGTCGACGGTCCGGCGCGCGGTCATCAACCTCCTCCCGCGTCTCGCCAAGTTCAACGCGTCGACGTTCCTCGAGATGTTTTACCGGCCGAGCATGAGCTACCTCCTTGAGGTCGCGAGCATGAACAACCCGCCGGCCGTCACGCGCGGTGACGCGCTCCTGTCGATCGGGAAGCTCTCGCTTGCGATTGGGTCACCGCTCGGCCGGGACGAGCGCACGCTCGACATGATTACGCACTGCATCAAGCTCGGGCTCCTCAAGAAGAAGGACAAGAAGGACGGCGACACGCAGCGCGAGGCGCTCAACTGCCTCCGCATGCTCGCCGACGCGATCGGCGCGGGCTTGAGCAGGATCAACTTGGAGGCGACGATCCAAAGCGTCTTCCAGTGCGAGCTCGACAAGGGCATGATCGATACGCTCACAACGCTCATGAAGCGCCTGCCCAACCAGCGCATGCTCATTCAGAACTCGCTCTTCAAGCAGCTCATGAAGCTCCTCGAGCTCAAGCCGTCCGAGTCGGCGCTCACGTCGGCGTCGCCGTCGCGCCACCGCAGCAAGACGTACACCAACTTGACCACGTCTAGTGGCTCCAAGACCAGTGTTCTCAACATCCTCTCGAGCGCGATCCAGACGGGCAAGCTCGACTACTCGCCGTCGTCACCAGCGCTCGCCGTCGACGCGCCCAACATCATTGGCATGCAGATTCTGGCGCTTGAGACGCTCGCAACCTTTGACTTTGGCGGCAACCGCCACATCCCGATCGTCCAGCGCGTCCACTCGCACGTCGTTCGGTTCTTAGACCACGACATTGCCAGCGTCCGCAAGAGCGCGGCGATCACTTGCTGCAAGCTCGTATTGCCGGCCGGCGAAGAAGCGACAGCGCTCAAGAGTGACGTGGCCGGGCCCGTGAGCACGGTGCTGCAGAAGCTGCTCACGGTGGGCATTGCCGACACGGAGGCCGACATTCGCTCCAAGGTGCTCGCGTCATTAGACCCGCGCTTTGACGCGCTGCTTGGACAGCCCGACAACCTCCGGTGCCTCTTCATCGCGCTCAACGACGAGGTCGTCGACATTCGGCAGACGGCCATGACGATCCTCGGTCGGCTCACGCACCGCAACCCGTCCGCGGTCATGCCGTCACTGCGTCAGACGCTCGTACAGCTCCTCGCCGAGATTGAGTTCAGCGGCGACGCGCGGGTCAAGGACGAAGGCGCGTTGCTGCTCGGTCACTTTTTGCGCTCGGCAACGACACTCGCCAAGCCGTACGTGCTGCCGACGCTCAAGGTCCTCATGAAGAATTTGCGCCAAGAAGCGAGCACGGACGGTCGCATCCAGCTCAACAAGGCGGTCGTCGCCACGCTGGGCGACCTCGCGGTCGTCGGCCAAGACGCGCTGATCCCGTACCTGCCGCAGCTCATTCCAGAGCTCGTCGACGAGATGAGAGAGATCAAGAGCAGCACGGCCAATGTCGGCAAGATGGTCGTCGTCGTGCGCACGCTCGGGCTCCTCATCGGCAGCACGGGCTACGTCACGCGGCCGTACCACGACTACCCCGACCTGCTCGAAGGACTCTCGGCCGCGCTCCAGAAGAGCGGCGATGCCAACGTGCTCTTGCGCATCGAAGCCGGCCGCACGCTCGGTATCATTGGCGCGTTGGATCCGTACAGCTTCAAGCTCTTCCAGCTCGAAAAGCAAGGCCGAATGGGCTCGGGTCTGCTTGCGACCAAGCAAGTCGAGCAGCTAAAAGCCAACCAAGTGATCCCGGACGACCCAACGTGGGCGGGCTTGCTCCTCGGCAACGAAGTACTTCATTTCGCAAATTCGCACATGTTGACACTGGTTTGGGCGTAGAACGGCGTCGAGCAGCTCGTGATCAAGCGGCTCGTGGCCGACCCGCTCTCGTCGATCGTCAAGCACGAGATCAAGTGCGTGCCGGCCGAGGACTTGCTGCCGTCGCTCATGATTGGCGAAGCGCAAAATTACTTCCCCGCGGTCGCCATCAACGCGCTCATTCGCATCCTCTCGGAGCCGCGCAACGCGAGCCATTACCAAGGCACGATACTGGCCATCATGTACATCTGCAAGAACCTCGGCAAGAAGATGGAGCCACACCTCGACAAGATCATCCCTGCGTTCCTCTACGCGCTCGAGCACGTGACGCCCGACTTGCGCATCTTTGTGTTTGACCAGCTCTCGAGTACGCTCCATTCATTGGGCGACCGGCCAACTGATAGATTGATACTATTGCGTAGCACTCGTGCGGCAAATGGAAGAAAAGGTCAAGCCGCATTTGGACAACGTGGCGATGGCGTGGATCATCCAGCAGTTTTGGGACTCGCATCTGCCGCAGGTGCTGGGACTGGTCAACGAAGTCATCAACTCGCTCGGCGAGGACTTTGGCGTGTACCTCCCGGACCTTGTGCCGGAGCTGCTTCGCGTCATTCGCACCGAGCGCGAGGCATCGAACCGTCCGCAGACGCAGCTCGTCATGCGGACGCTCATCAGTCTCGGGCGGCTCCTCGACGGGTACCTGCACCTCGTCATCCCCGTGCTCGTCAAGCTCATCCAGAGCAACGCGGACTTTTTGCCGCGCCGCCAAGCTTTAGGGTACGGTCGCTCGGTGTCGGTATCATGTACAAAGATGTGGTCTAGGACGCTGGTGACGCTGGTCAAGAAGCTCAACGTGTCGGTGTTTGCATCGAAAATCATCCACATGCTGGCGCGCGTCATTGCGAGCGGCCACCCGGAGCTCGTGTACCTCGCCATGGACTGTCTCTGCGCCATGGTGTACACGATGGGCGACGACTACGCCGTCTTCATCCCGGTGATCAACCAAGTGCTGCATCGGCACCCGACGCAGGGCGACGTGTTTGACAAGTACGACCTCCTCGTGTCCAAAGTGCTCAAGTACCAGCCGCTACCGGCCGTCGCATGGGGCACTGACACGCTCAAGCGCGAGCACGCGTCGTCGCTCAACACGGACTCGCTCGACGAGTTCAAGCCGCTGCCGATCAACCAAGTCGGGCTCTCGAAAGCGTGGGAGACGACGCAGAAGAGCACCAAGGACGACTGGCACGAGTGGATGCGCGCGATCTCGGTCGAGCTCCTGCGCGAGTCGCCGTCCCTGGCGCTCCGCGCGTGCAAGGAGCTTGCGTCCGTGTACCAGCCGCTCGCACGGGAGCTCTTCAATGCGTCGTTCGTGTCGCTCTGGCCCAACCTCAACACGCACACACAAGACAACTTGATTCGCGCGCTAGAGACGGTGCTGCAGGCGCCCAACCTCCCGTCCGAGATCCTCCAGACCTTGTTGAATCTGGCCGAGTTTATGGAGCACGACGACCAGCGGCTGCCCATCGACATCATGTTGCTCGTACGTCCGAGCATCTGGTATGCGTTTCCATGCTTGGGGTAGGGGTCGCTCGCCGAAAAGTGTCATTCGTTTGCCAAGGCGCTGCACTACAAGGAGCAAGAGTTCAACGCGACGCCGACGGCCGCCGGCATCGAAGCGCTCATCTCGATCAACAACAAGCTCAACCAATTTGAAGCCGCGGTGGGCATCGTCACGTACGCGCAAATGCACTTGCCGCGTGTGCCAGTCAAAGCGAGCTGGCACGAGAAGCTCCAGCGCTGGGACGACGCGCTCGTGGCCCATGAAGCGGTCTTGATGACGCACCCGGATGACGTCGAGGCGGTCTTTGGCAAGATGCGCTGCTTGTACGCGACAGGGCAGTGGCACGCGCTCAACGACCACATTGAAGCCATGTGGGCGCAGGTGTATGGCGACGGTGACAAGAGCAACGGCAACGACGACGACGGCGACGACGGCATCGGCGACGACAACAAGCTCCTCGATGTGCCGCCGGCGCTCAAGAAGGAGCTCTGCAGCAACGCGGCGCGGGTCGCGTTCACATTGCAAAACTGGGACATTGTGCCCAAGTACATCAACTCGGACATGGACGACACCGAGTCGCACCTCTTCCGCGCTGTGACGTGCATCCGCTCCAACGAGCTGGACGAGGCCAAGCTCGCGATTGAAGAGTGCCGGCACACGATGGACCCGACGATTCGGTCGTTCATCAGCGAGAGCTATGCGCGCGCCTACATGCCGTGCGTTGTCAACCTCCAGAACCTCGCCGAACTCGAAGAGATCATTGCGCATCTGCAGCGCGGCGCGTCGCTGACCAAGCCGATGCTCGCCAACAGCAGTCGCCCGGTGCGCGACAGCTTTTTGCAAAACCATTTGACGCGCGAGAGCTTTGTCGAAGTGCTGCCGCGCATGACGCCCCAAGCCCTTCTGCATGCACAGCAAGACGACCTCTCCCGGTACACTTTCATTCTAGACGAACGAGGAACGACGCAACATATAGACTGCAAAAGATCTGGACGGCCCGCCTCCTCGGTGTGGACCGTGACATCAAGGTCTGGCAACACGTCATGCTCGTGCGGTCGCTCATTCTCGAGCCGAAAGACGACGTTGACGTGTGGCTCAAGTACGCGCGCCTCTGTCGCAAGTCGGGGCACCTCAACTTGGCCGCGTCGGCGCTCGCGAGCGTCGGCGCAAGTGTCTTCATGGAGTCGATCGCGACCGACGCCAACGTTCCGATCGTCAATGTACACATGCTGGAGCAAGAGACGCACAACCCGGTCGTCGCCTTTGCGTACCTCAAGCACCTCTGGGCCGAGAGCAAAGAGGAGCTCGCGCTCAAGTAGCTGCACGACCTGATCCACGCGATCGAGACCTTTGATGAGCACGACGAGCTTGTGAACCTCCGCGTGCAAGCGTACACGCAGCTCGGCAAGTGGCAAGTCGCGCTCACGGAGCCCAAGAAGCACAGCGACTTGATGTTCGACCAGGTTTAATTTTGCTAGCTGTTGTACAAAAATCCACGTTTGAGGGTAGGTGCTCGGGTGTCTCAACACGGCGACGCGCTTGGACCCGACCAACGGCAAGGCGTGGCACGAGTGGGCGCTCATGAACTTTCGAGCGACCGAGTCGGCGCGCGACGACCCGATCGCGCTGGAGAAATACGCGTCCAGTGCGATCGACGGGTTCTTCCGGTCGATTTCGTTTGGCCACCGGCGCTACGACGTGACCAAGGACGTGCTGCGGCTGTTGACGCTCTGGTTCAACCACGGCGGTCGGCCAGACGTCCACGCGGCCATGACCCAAGGCCTCGCCGAAGTCTCGATCGACACGTGGCTTGAGTTCATCCCGCAGCTGATTGCGCGCCTGCACTCGCCGACGCCCAACATGAACACGCTTTTGCACCAGCTGCTCACGCGCATTGGCCAGCACCACCCGCAGGCGCTCATCTACCCGATGACCGTCGCGTCGACGAGCATTGGCGCCAAGCGCAAGCTCGCGGCCGAGGGCATTTTAGCTGCCGTGCGCCGCCACTCGCCGCAGCTCGTGCAAGAAGCCGAGCTCGTCTCGCGTGAGCTCATTCGCGTCGCGATCCTCTGGAACGAGCTCTGGCACGGCGCGCTCGAGGAAGCCTCGCGCTTGTACTTTGCGCTCCGGGACACGAAAGCGATGCTGTCGGAACTCGCGCCGCTGCACAAGCTCCTCGATGCGATCGGGCAAGTCGAAGCGCCGACGCTGCGCGAAGTTGCGTTCTGCCAAGCGTTTGCGCGCGACTTGCAGCAAGCCAAGGCGTGGACCGACCGGTACGAGGGTACGGGCAACGTCGACGACCTTAGCCAGGCGTGGGACCTGTACTTTAACGTGTTCAACCGCATCAAGAAGCAGATGGCCAACTTGAGCATCCTCGAGCTTGCGAACGTCGGGCCCAAGCTCCTGAGCGTCTCAAGCCTCTCGCTCGCGATTCCTGGCACGTACAAGGCCGGCGTGCCCATCACGCGCATCCAATCGTTTGGCCCGCAGCTCACGGTGCTCACGTCCAAGCAGCGGCCGCGCAAGGTGTTATATAGTGCCACCTCTTATCGGTGTGCTGACATTCGGACAGGTTGTCATGCACGGCAGCGACGGCAAGTCGTACACGTTCCTCCTCAAGGGCCACGAAGATCTGCGCCAGGACGAGCGCGTCATGCAGCTCTTTGGCCTCATCAACACGCTGTTGGCCAACGACTCGGACACGCGGAAGCGCAATCTCGCGATCCAGCGCTTCTCGGTGCTGCCGCTGTCGCACTCGTCCGGTCTCATTGGGTGGGTCGAGAACACGGACACGCTGCACATGCTCATCCGCGACTACCGCGAAGCGCGCAAGATCCAGCTCAACGTCGAGTACCGGCTCATGGTGCAGATGGCGCCCGACTACGAGAAGCTCACGATCGCCAACAAAGTCGAAGTCTTCCAGCACGCGATGGGCGAGACGACGGGCCAGGACCTCTACAAGGTGCTCTGGCTCAAGAGTCAGAACTCGGAAGTATGGCTCGACCGCCGCCGCAACTACACGCGGTCGCTGGCCGTCATGTCGATGGCCGGCTACATCCTCGGGCTCGGCGACCGGCACCCGGGCAACCTCATGCTGCACCGCGTGTCGGGCAAGATCGTGCACATCGATTTCGGCGACTGCTTTGAAGTCGCGATCGAGCGCGAAAAGTACCCGGAAAAGGTCCCTTTCCGACTCACGCGCATGCTGTCGCAGGTGGCTTCTTCCTGCCAGTCAGAGAGGCTCACGTATGATGTCTCTAGGCCATGGAGGTGAGTGGACTCGAGGGCACGTTCCGGTACACGTGCGAAGCGTCGATGCGCGTGCTGCGGGAGAACCGCGACAGTCTGATGGCGATCCTCGAGGCGTTCGTGCACGACCCGCTGATTACGTGGCGCCTCCTCGCGCCGCACGCCGTGCCATCGCACGCGTACGAGACGGAGGAGGACAAGGCGTCGGGCCCCAAGCTCATGACGGACGTGGACGAGACGGAGAAGGGCAAGCACCGCCGGTCGTCGGCCGATTCGATGCTCGAGTTTATCGAAAAGCCGAATGAGACGACGAATTTGTCGCTCAAGATGGCGGCGATGGGCCGCAGCGTCTTCGCCACCAACAAGACCAACAACAGCACCAACGCGGCGGGCACGACGACTGGCGAGAACGCGACGACCAACAGCAACGACGGCGAGCTGGACGAAGGCGGCGCGCTCGCGCCCGAGCAGCTCAACGCCAAAGCCGTCAAGGTCATTGACCGCGTGAAAAAGAAGCTCCGCGGCCGCGACTTTGAGAACCTCGGGGTCGGCCAAAAGCAGCTCAGCGTCGAGTCGCAGGTCGACCGGCTCATTGAGCAAGCCACGTCGCCCGAAAACCTCTGCCAACTCTACTACGGCTGGTGCCCCTTTTGGTAGATATATGTACTACAAATAGAGGCAGGTGGATATGCTTGCAGGTCTCGATAGTTCCGGAACCTCAGCCGCACAGCAACGTGACGTGGCGCGACGAGGTGGCGAGGCGGATCTTCGTCTTTTCCGGCATCCGGATACCATTGGCAAGTTCAAATTTCCGATTTTTGACGATTCCGACATGGCCGGCGGTGGCCACCCCTATTGCCGGTGCGGTAAGCGCTGCACCAAGCGAGGCTCCGTGCGGATCAACTCTGCAGGTCTCTGCCCGCGCTGCGCACGTCTAGGCTACAAAGCCGCCGCCACTGCTATGGCCCCCAACGCAGCACCCGAAGCTAACCCACCGCCAGCACCCGCAGCTAGCCCACCGCCAGCACCCGAAGCTAACCCACCGCCAGCACCCGACGCCATGAACCCGCGGCCGGCGCTCGAGCGACGCGCGTGTATTGGCGTGTTCCCTGCGATTCCACCCAACGCCGACGCGCGCCTCGTCATCGAGCGCTTCAACGTGATTGGGAATGGGCTATACCACAAGAGCTGCCGGGGATTGCTCGACGCCGGTGTCACAGCGCTGCGCTGCGAGTGGTGCCAGCGCAAGATGCACAACGCAGGCCGCGAGCTCGAGCGCATTGGTGTTTTCGGCATGGTTGAAGAGCTCACGATCTCCAACTCGTCTCTGGTGCAGGACATTCGACGCCTCATGGCGACGCTCGCCATCAACCCCGAGGACCCCGACGCTATTGCAAGTCTCAACATGCTCGCGCGTGTGGCGCTCGCTGGTCGGTTCGCCCTGGACGCCGGCCGCGTCGTCGAGCGCAAAATCGCGTTCTACGTCTGCCCGGGTATCGGCCACGACGACGCCGGCCTCGCCGACGCACGGCAGCTCTGCGAGCTCGCGAGCGAGACGGTCGTCATTGCGGAGAATGGGCGGCTGCGTGGAGCTGCGTGCGCGCACTGGCAGCTCGTGGCCAAGAATGCGTTTGCATCGCCGCTCTGCAAGGTGTGTCGTCCTGCGCTTGTCAAGCTGCAGAAGAAGATTGCAACGCGCAACGAGATGCACGAGCAGGTGACGGACCCGTCGAGCAAAACCGCGTACCAGCACCTCTCCCGCGACCAACTCCAAGAACGGCTGCGTCACGCCATGACGAAACTCAAGCAGCAGGAGCGTCAAAAGATCGCTGCGAGTGGAGGGAAGCGCCCGGCGGTCGACACCAGATCGCCTCCAACGACAGCGAAGAAACCCCACACGGTACTTCCCATCAACCCAGCTATTACCCGATGGATTTAATCACGCTCATATATATATTGTCGTGCGTTTGGAGCGCTGAGCACTTGGTCAATGCATCCTGCCAGAAGCTCGCACGAAGCCTCGACGATGGTGTGTCAACTGCACCGTACGCTGACACAAGGGGCACTTGGCAGCGTGCCATCCTGCCAGGGTACGCTGGACGCAGACACTGCGATTTAGTACTACTGCCGGAAAGACTGGCTGGCATGCGGGCAATCAGAGTGGGTCAGTGCGGCTACCGACACCGTCGTAACATCGTCGTGACAACGTCGTAACAGCGTCGTAACAACGTCGTGACAGTGTTACGACA